TAATACTGATCTTTGGTATTTCACTGTCAGAACATATCAGAAAAAAAAATTGAGGTTAAATTTTGCAAGAGAAGACCTCATGAAAATCATTTTCCTCAAATCTAAGACAAAAACTTGGATTTATCCCCTGGCTTAAACACTGAGTCCTAGTCTGAACCTAATCTATGTTTTGATTTATATATCTGGCTCACCTCCAGCCACAACAAGACTTGGAAAGAGGTAGCCCACTGCTGTATGGAATGAAACATTCCAAAGGTTTGGCAAACAAGCACTTCACCACCAGACATACTGAAAACCATACTAAAACTTCTCCACTCATGGAATCAGACAGTCAAGAATGAGGGTAGAGGGAGCACAAAGGATTGAACCTTTCCTCTGCAGAAGCATCATCAACACCTGCACTGGCAAACAACTTGGGCTGTGTGTTTTTGGTCCTGAGGCCAACAGAAGGCAAAAGAACTCAAGTCTCTGAAAGAGAGAGTCAGGTTGACATTAAGAGATCTGCTGTTGGTTGTCCTTGACCCATAGCATCCCCTGGGCTGGGCCTGGCCACTGTTTGGGACATTATTGGAGTCTCTACCAAAACCACTCCAGGGACTGTGCCAACTGCACGGGCAATAATATTCCAAAGCCCAGACCTGTCCCTGGCTCCTGTTCCCTTTCTGAGATAATTGTGGCATCTTTCCCACCTTTGGGGAACATTTCTGCCTCAAGGGATGGCCTGCAGATGAGCTACAATGGGGCTACAAGAAGGCAAGCGCAATTCTTAGACGTAACTCGGATAAAACTTTTGATCCTCCCATAGCTCCCCTCTCAAGTGCTCAGCTGCTTGTGAGAGGAATTGTGGGAAAAGGAGAAACAAAAGGATAACAAAAGGCAGTTTTCCTTCTTCCTAAAGTCTTCTTCCTGCTGGGCTAGCCACTCAGCTGATGAAAATGCCTTTGCAGCTGCTCATCTGCAGAGCTGCAGGAATCCTGGGCACGAGGGTGAGCAACCATGAGGCTGCTGGAGGGAGGTTTGGGTCTGCAGGTGCTGCTGCATGTTACAGCATTTCTGGCTGCAAAGCTACTCTGGGGAATGCTGTCCTGGTTAAAGTCATGGCTCCATTGTGCACCAGCACTGTTGCTTTCTGCCTTTTTAGGTGTGCCACCATAAATGTCTCTAAGATGATCCACAGGGACTGAAAGGAAAAGAAGCAACCTTTATTTGGAAGAAATGAGGTCGCTGGTTGAAGCAATCTTTCATTTTTTCAACCTGTTTGAACATCACAGTGCAATATCTGCCGTGAACAAATTAATCCTCCATTTCTAGAAGTTATCTAATATATAATTTCATCTTTAAGTCTTATTGTGTCCCCAAGAGCTTTTGGCATGTTATCAGCAGCTGGTAACTCATTTCAGTGCAGCTCATGTGAGCACTACTGGTGTCAGTCACTGTAAAAGTAGTAGCCTCCTGACACCCACCCATGATTTTCACCTCAGAATCACAGAATCACCATGGCTAGAAGAAACCTTCTAGATGATCTAGTACCGTGAACCCAGCACCACCATAAGCCCCTTTAAACCATATCCCCAAGTGCCAAATCCAGACACCACTTGAACCATCACTTCCAGAGATGGTGACTCCACCACTGCCCTGAGCAACTTATTCCAATGCCTGACCCCTATTTCAGTGAAAAAAATAAATTCCTGATATCTAATCTGGATCTCTCCAGGCATGATTATTCCAATGCATGACCCCTATTTCAGTGAAAAAAATTCCTGATATCTAATCTGGATCTCTCCAGGCATGATTTAAGGCCATTTCCTCTCCTTCTTTCACTTGAGATTTGTCAGAAGAGACCAACTCCCACCTCACCAACCTCCTTTCAGATAGCTGTAGAGAGCAGTAAGGTTCTCCCCCCGAGTCTCCTCTTCTCCAGAATAAACAACCCCAGTTCTCTCAGCTGCTTCCCATAGGACTTGCTTCCTAGACCCTTCAACATCTTCATTTCCTTTCTTTGGACATGAAGGCTTTCAATGAGATGCATCCTGCCCTGATATATGGACACCAGCTATAAAGCCATAGTCTTGGTGCAGAAAAGGGCTTCCTCACCTGTTCAAATTCAACCTTGAGTTTAAGTCCTGCAGGCTACTGTTCTTTAGCACACTTGTGACTGCTGGTTTGAACTAGGACCTGAGATCTGAGCCTAAAAGACACTGGAGAAGGTCACCTCCATGATGGCTTCATCAATCTTTGAAACCTTCCTTGCTGCCCAGTCTGCTGACAGAGTCAAATTAACCAAAGCAGATTCTTCAGAGGAGCCAGAGTAAGCACGCACCAGTGGGGCAGTTTGAGTTCTGTCTCTGGATGGACACCAGTACTACCTTCTTTCCAACTCCTCCTGCCTACTTTTCCTACACCTTTTCTGCACAGGAGATCTAAATCCCCCTTGGTCTGGTGGCCAGAACTGCAGGGAAGGTCCTGCATCTGTGCAAGTCCCTTCACACTGCCAGGGGATCTCCCTAGAGCATGGCTGTGCACATGCACAAGGTCAGGTGCCAAATTTGGACTATACATTGCACTCCCCATGGGGCAGGGGCCTTGTCATTGGGGAATTCTGTTCCCCACCCAAACATCTGCAGGATCAGGGCCTTTAAAGCACAGAGGAGATTAGGATCTGGTTCTGTGTGGTATTGCTTAGAGGGCTGTGCCCAACTCAAATTGCACCTACCGTTGTGAGCTATGCACTCACCAAAGGGAAATGCCTGTCTTGAAATGAGCTCATGCTGCTACACTGTGTTCTGTGCCTGTCAGCACTTTTGTGGACTCTCATGTTTGCAGATATATGAATTATTCTCTGGCAGATGGCTGGTTTCACCCTTTCTATTCACACATGTCCTTAAAGTGAATATAAAATTGTATTCACTGTAAGCTTTTCATTCACAGTCTTCTTATTTAGGTGGATAAGAAAAGAGGTTTCCGTCTATGCACATTGTCAGCCCCAACAAATCATTCTGCTGGGGAGAATCAATGAAAAGGAAGTAGGTGATCTTCTGGGGGTCCTCCAGCCTTATAATTCTCTGAAAAGACCAAGGACAAAGCTGATCTCATGGTAGGTTAAGTAATCACAGTGTTTCTATTATATTGATTCCTAATTGTGTAAATTAGATGTCTCTTATACTTATTTTTCATATTCCATATAAAAAAACCCACAAATATGTTGTCTTTGTTCACAGATGTCTGTAGGTAAAGACAAACACAATCAGTAAGCTGAAATCCTACCACTTCTTAATTCTGCTTCTGTGTATGACTTGATCAAGGATAATTCACTTGTTTTACTTACCAGAGACTATATTTTTAATATTTATTTATTTGCGTTTATAAGGTGGGATCACTTCTGTAGCCTGGATTTGCCTCCCACTTTGGCTGTAGCCTGACTTTATGCTACCTGAGCATTCTCCCCCTTTGTGCCCAGCTCCCCTCAGGGCTGTGGGGGAACGAAGCTTTTTCCCTACATGCAGAACATGCTCCCCCACCCAGAACATACTCCTGCCCTTGTGAATCCTGAATGGACAGGATTCACAGGGGCAGGACACTCTGGCAGTGACAGGAAGTAGTAGGAACAAGTGTATAAAGTGATAGAATCATTAAGGTTGGATAAGACCTCTAAAATCATCAGGTCCAACCATTAACCTCCCACTGCCAGGTCCACCAATAAACCATACCCCCAAGCACCACATCTGTGCAGCTTCTGAATAATACCTGAAGGGATGGTGATTCTACCTCTTACGTGGGTAGCCAGTTCTAAAGCTTGGCCACCCTTTCCATGAAGAAATTTTTCTTAACCTCCCCTTGTGCAACTTTAGACCACTTTGTCTTGTCTTACACTTGCGACCTCTGAAAGAAGACTTGACCCTCACTGGGCTACAACCTCCTCTCAGGTAATTCTAGAGAGTGATAAGGACCTCCCGAGCCTTCCTTCCTCCAAACTAAATGACCCCAGCTCCTGCAGCCTCTCCTGTGGGTCTGTAGCCTTGCTGCTGGGTCCTGCACAGTGCAGGGGCATGGGGTCCATTTGCTAGCAGGAAATGAGCCCAGCTGGCCCCAGGCACGCGGGGCACGGGCAGACTGCACAGCACACACCCAGCAGCGTCCTGTGAGCCCATTAAATTGTCTAACGGGGGAAAACAAGCCTTTCAAACATGATGCACTAATGAGAGATTAATCCACCCAAGAGAACAGTCATAAACTAAAATGGCTTATAAAATAAAACACATCATTAAGTACAATTGAGGTATTAAGTAATAAAGTTCGGAATACAGGATGACATTTCTTCCTGTGTGCAGGGTCAGTGAGTGCCCCTTTGCTCCACATGGGATTGGCAATTGGACCAGGAGGAGTTTTTCACCTGGTCAGAGGACTTCATACTCCAAGTGTTCCTCAGGACAGTGATGACCATTCTCTTGTCACTGAGTTTTGACACAGCACTAACTCTGCTAAAAATTCTGTTTGCAACAACAGGAGCAGGTCTCTGGTGAATAACTGGCCAGAGCACCATTTTCTGCCAGGGTTCAGTCCATGGTGCCTCTTCAGGGGCTCAGGGTGCAGGAAGGGTGGTTGTACAGCTGTAGTGTCCAAGAAAAGCAGCCTCACATAGACAGACACCCCCACTCATGTTACTGGTGATGATGCATTTGGCAGTGAGAGCCCAGCTGAGCTGTGGGAAGCTAAGTCAGGTGTGCTGGAAAGGTGTTAGCAGATGACACCACTTGTAAATCCAAGCAAACTGGTGAAGTCATTGAGACCTCTTGGATGAACACTCCTGCAACCCTCCAGCTTTTTAGAGCTGTATGCTAGATAAGAGCTGTATGTGTTTGACTGGTTCTTGCTATAGACATGTATTTACCCTTCCCTAAGATAATTCTGTTTCACCTTTTTTTTTTTTGACACTCTTCAGGCAAGTAGGCAAAAGACCAAAATGGCTACGCCTTGCAAAATAAAAAAAAAAATATTACTTACCTTTTTTGGTTTTTTCTTTTTTATTTTTTTTTCTTAAAAGATTTCTATCCTGAGTTCTAGGTGCCCTGGAAAATATTACAAACAGAGAGTGGGATTTTCAGAAGTGTTATGAACTGCTTGTCAAGTTGCAACCAATGACATCTGCTTGAGTTTTTTTGCCTTCTGCTTGTGATTCCTTATGTCTCACCTGATTTTAGAAGCAAACAGACAGTGACCCACCATGGATAAACTCCCCCAAAATTCTCCAGACCTCAGAATAATGATAAAGTTAGTGAACACAGGAAATCTCACTTCATAAAACTAGACATTCAGTGAGGAATTGTCCCTACCTCCATCACTGAGTGTTCATGGTATCCTTTGTGTGGGCTCTACATCATCTCCTTTCCCAAAAATTATGGGCTTTGCAGCAGGCTAAAGGGCAGAACACGGGGCTTACCAGGTATGAGTGAAGAAAGGGATGGGTGCTCCCTCACACACCTTCCTCTTTTGAGTGGAAATTTTAATTGATGGACACCGTTTGATGGATCATCTTGACAGGGAGGAGAAGCAAGGCAGAATGCAGTTATGAATCAGCTGGCAGGTCTGTGAATGCAAAAAGGGTGGAATATTGTGAGTCATCATCAAATCTATTTCTCAGCTCTTCTGTAATCAATCTTTTTGTCTCTTGCAGGCTCGACAATGACTCATTCTTTGACATGCCTTTATAGAGCTGCTAAGTGCACAGCTTGCCAGCCTCCCTGGTGCTGCTCAGTCTATTGCTGCACAGTGCCAGCAGAGGTTGAAAAATGCAACACCTGATTGCTTCAGGATCACTTCAAGAAACAGAGCAAATTGCTCCTGTGATGATGTAGGTAGGGAGCATGGTGGGACAAGGACTTGAATAGTACTTGGTGTAATTCTAATGGATTTCTAAAATGTTCATAAAGCGTTGTCTCCTTGAGCACAGCAGAGAGGAAGATGACGAGTGCTGAATCCTCCATGGTCTGTGGCCCAAAAGGCTCTGCCTCCCTCTCTGCAAGGTCTTGCTGTCCACCTCTGAACTCTGGGCACTTTGCACCAACTGTGTGTTGCCACCCTCCCCAGTTTCTGGCTGAGCTCTGCCCAGGCACTGCCGTGCTTCAGGTTGTGCCTTTCATTGAAACAGTGTGTTCTGTGCTGTGCTCCTTTGACCCATCCTTAAAGCAGTCTGCTTGGCATTGGCAGTGCTGCTAAACAGGTCTGAGATTGCAAATGGCCCTGATTGCAACATTAATCATAATAACAGCACATTCAGTACAGGCTTCTCTGGACTGGAGCTAATCTGAGACTTCCCATCAGTCAAGGCAAAACTGAGCTCTGTGTCCCTGCGGATGAAGTCTCAGGGTTTGGCTGTTCTGGCCATGGCACAGAAATCAAGGCACAGTGATTGTCCCAACCAAAGAGAGCCTCGGGGCTCACCTGTCCCTCGCTGCTGGCTCTGTTTCTGAGTACCTTGATGCAAGCCAAGGAGGATCACAGCCATTTGAGTGCAACTTCTCTGAAATCTACTCCCCCTCTGCTGCTACCTCCCAAGCTAGCCTCAGGACAGCCTTGTCTTCACCTCCTCTTCCACCCACCACACAGTGACCATTCCCCTGGTTGAGCCATCTCAGGGCTGTTTGGTCTGCAATTCTCTTCCCTGTTTCTTTTCACTTTCCTTGGTTTTCGTCATCTCACTGCAAGGAGTGACAGACCTGCCTAAGAGCTGTTTATTTATCTTATCTTTACACCCAAGCTGAGATCAGAAAATGAAAACTGACATCATCCTGTTCATCAGATCTGCTCTACAAGTGCCATACTCAGGCCAAAATAAATGTTTACATCACTTTTTTTTCTGAGTAACGTGGCAAAGCCAACAGAGCCAAGACAGAATAAGTGGCTTTACCTCCTGCAGAATCACTTGTTTTTTTGTCACTGGAAACAATGAGAGAAATGGGAGAGTTATCTAACCAGTTTGCAGAAATGGCTAAAGGGAAAAGTGCTTTTTTATTGCATTTGCAAATTAAACTTGGTCTTGTGAGTGTCTTTTTCTGCACCTGTGATGGCCATCATTGTGTTTTACTAATACACTCTGGATTTTTGCCATTCCTGCTGCAGTCACTAATAAGGATATAAAGCATTTCCCATCTGAATTCTTATCCTCTGTAGAGCAGCTTCTCCTTCAGGCCCATCAGCTTCCCACTGGACACATCTGTCTGCCATCCTCTTTTTAACCATTATTTTTCATTCAATTGTAGTTATCTCATTTGGTGCAATAACAAAGACCTTATTGAAGTCCAAGTAGACTAGATCTGTTGCAGTTTCCTAAGGTATAATTTGTTTAGAAATGTGTTAATTCTACAGTCTTCATATTTAGATGAAGCATGTTTTCACTTCCATTTGCCTACATGACTTCAATTAGCTTTTCAGTCACATCTCTAAAAAATGTATTTACTTCTGTGTGAAGCTAGTGGCTCAAGGACGTGCCAAGCTGGATTTGGTACCCTGACTCTTCACTGTAACTGCAATTTCACCTAGAAGGTCTTTGATATTGCCAGAAAAATACAATCAGCTCCCTTTGGCATGTACACAGTGAAGCCTTTGGCTTCTGCTTCCACCACACTGCTGTAGTTGTCATTTACATAGAGACTCTCTCATTAAACAAGGTGTCTTTGCATACAGGTTTTACCCTGGTGTCCCAGTGACAAACTTAAGTGAAGTACTCATTTAGTTTTGGAGCCAAACCTATATTATCTTTCATCTCTGCTGCTTTTCACTGCAAAGAAGAACCACTTCCTCTTCCTTGTTCTCCTTTTATTTATAGAGCAAAGAAGTCTGCCATTTGTTACAATCTGTTTTACAAGGCTGAAATTGGTTGGGTTTTGGCAGTTGTCCAGACACCATTTTCCTTGCTGATCCATGTTTTCTTCCATGCTTTGCAGGCTTACTGCTAACTCCTAGCACCATGTATCTCATCTAGTCTGGCATTACGCTTGACAGGTCTGTGATTTACTCTGGCCACCTGTTAAAACTGGTTGTCAAGTTGACTCCCAGAACAATTTATGTGGCAAGCCAGGATAATTTGCTGTTCTCTGCAAACATGAAAACAACCACAATAGAAATTTTTCTTGGTCAGTAGTGGCCGTTTGTACAGACCCTCCTTTTTCTTACCCACATAAGTCCTAGGTTTTTGATATCTGGTTTTTCTTCCTTCTATCTACATGTCCCTCTCTGTCTCTATAATTTCTTTCTCTGTTATGCTGGTGTTAGCTATGTTTTTTTCAACTCTTTTTCTTCTTTTACTGCTTGGTGTCTTTATCTTTTCTGCCTTTTTTATTTGCATGTTCCTGCCAAAGAAATGGACCTGGACAAGGAGGATATATGAAACACGATTACATACAGAAAAATCTATCTTGTGTAAAAGATTTCTTTAGGATGAAAGACAACTATTGAAGTAGATTTAGAAATGGACCAAAGAAGCAAGGTGATAAAGATCAAAATCACATCTTCAGAGTCTTGTCCCACTTCCATCCTTGTCTGTGAGCATCCATGTATCCCAAAGTTCTTCTCATCTACTAACTTTATCAAGCAGTAGCTAGACAGTTTACTTGTTTAAGCATAACATGCAGAGAGCAGGTTCCATATCTAGCCAACTTCATTGTTTTCTGTCTTTCTAGGGTCCTTTCTCAGACTGCCTCAGTAGTTGCTATCAATTTTTACTGAGTGAGATGGTTGTCCCCCTTATTGTATAATGGTTATGATAACATATTCAATATGAGAAAAAGGTATGTAAAACTCCATATACTATGCCAAAAGCATTTGTGGGACATAAATGTGTCTTCTACGTGATGGTGGAAAGATCCTGGCTTAGGGTTATTCCTAGAAGGAAAGAGGCAACAAGAGAATTCAGCAGATTTTCAAACAGGAATAACGGTGCAGTGACATCAGTAGAAATTCCAGAACATTATGGCAAATTGTTGCTTTTAATTAGGCTGTCAGCACCAGGCCTATGGGACTGAAAAATGATTACAGACCCACTTACAACAAAATTTAGCAGGCATCAGCCCTGCTGACCTTCTGCTGACTTCAAAGCACAGACATACACCAGTTTATTGAGGCAGATACCATCTCACTCAGATACTGAGGGAAGATTGCAAAGGAGCTTCCTTTGGGATAAAAGTATTTTTGATGGGGGATGGTGGGCATTTGACAAGCATGAGTGGGAGGCTGTTCTAGGGAAAAAGGAGAGATGAAGCATGGTGCCAAGTCAGCAGTGAGACACAAAGCCAAGGGAGCGGTTAAAGCAAACACGAGGAACAGGTGAGTGTGTGGAAACAGGATCAGGCAAGATCGTGTGCCAGTGCTGATCCCCTTGACAAAGACTGATAATTGACTCAGAATTTAGTACTTGACTGACTCCTTACATTCAAACTTGAAAAGAAATGGCGTAAAAATTCAGTTCTGAAACATCTGATTTCATACTTTTCTGAATAGAATGGGGTTATGTTATGTAGTGAATAGCGCACAGCAGCAAGGACACATGAAGAGTTCTTACAGAAGCTGCAGGTGGTCTTTCCATTTCCACTTACCTTGGGAATTGTGGACCAGATTTGCACAGGTACTTTAGTGCCAAAAGGTGCAGTGGATAATTAATCATAGTTTCAAAAGCAGCAGCCCAACCTCAATAGAATGTTTCAAAAGGTCAGTATTCAGCAATCTATTTTTTGAGCTACCTAAATAACTAGGAAATGGCTTCAGGACTTCATTTTAGACAGTCACAACTGAAAAAAGAAATACTGACAAAATTCCTTAAAATTTATTTCACTAACAAATTAAGAGGTTTTTGGGTTGCGAAATAATATCCCAACAGTATCTGAGAAGAAACTTTTGTGAGGTTGTACTCCCAAACAGTAAAACTAAACTAAACATTTTTTCCCAGTTGCCTCTGGATAAAAGGGCTCAGACAGGGCATTTTCCTTCTGGATAGATGCTATTTTGCTTTGAATGTCACAATCTAACTTAATTCAGATAACCCTGTTCAGTATGACTTTTCAGATATTAATTTCTAAGGCAGCAGCAGAGATCCCATTGTTTTTAATGGGGACAATACTGGGCCATTCTAAGCACTTCCACTGGAATGAACATGGCTGCAGGGGACAAGGGAAAACAGGGAAAGGCCAAGGAATGCTCGAGTAATTAATGCAAACTCTGACTTTGCTCTCTGGGATCAATTCAGAAGAGCATGTGGGTTGGCATACATCCCCTAAGTTTCAGCAAAATATCAGAACAATGATGCTTCTCAGTGAATAATTAGTAGAAATGGTCTTGACACTACCACATACTTGGTGACTGCATGCCAAAGATAGGTGAGCTCCCTGCTTGATGTCATGGTCAAGGAATGTCACTGCTTCTGCACAGCCCAGATGACACATGGTTTACCTGAACAGCCATAGCAGATGGGTGACATTTGAGTTTTCCAAAGTGGTCTGTGAGGACTTCCCCAGCTGACCTGCAAATGACATACAGGAAATCTGCAGCAGAGCAGAGCCAAACATCCTGTCCCCTCTATGTGTCTGCCCCATGCA